GGCAGAGACAAGTAAAATTTTTGCAGTCTTTCAAGTTTTAATCTTGGATAATAATAATAACTACTGCTCATTGAAAAATTCAGTGTGCCAAAGTGCTTTACTTGTATTATTTCTAATCCTCACCACATCCCTGCAAGGCAGGTGAGGTATTATTGTTGTTCTATTTTAACAAGTGAGAAAGCTACCGTACGGGTTAAGAGATTTGCCAAAAATCACTCCACTGGTAAATGGCAGAGTGAAGACTCAAATTGTTAATATAAACATAATTCAAAGTCCTCTTTTAGAACTTAGACAATCTTTTTCCCCCATATGTTTTTAGAATTACATTGGCAGAAAGAGGCCTTAGAATCTAACCTAACATTCCAATTCTCCATAACAATCCTGAAAGATTATGATCTACCTTCTACTGGGGTGTTTCCACTGAAGAAGAGAAGGGCTTGCCACTTAATAGGAAGTCCATTTCATCTTAGAATTAACCATTAGAGAGCTTTGTTTAGACATAGACAAATTTTGCCTCTCTGGAATGTTCCTCCATTCATTATTGCACTTCCCTCTAAAGCAGTGTTAAAATGAAGTTTCTAATTCAGGAAATCTGAGGTAGAGCTTGAGATTCTGTGTTTCTAATAAGTTCCTAGATAATGCTAATACTGCTGCTCCCTGGAACACACTTTGAGTAGCAGGCTCTGGGACCACACACCTCCCCTCTAGCTAACCGAAATAGCTACCAGACATGCTGGTGACTAATTTTTATTTTCTCCAGGTATTCACCTGCTCCAGACATAATTTCCAGATTCCTCCCACCCTGCTTGTAACCTCTAGGATAAGTTCACTTGTTTGAAAACCTCCAGAATTGAAAGTATATTCTTGATGTAATCAGACCATAGCAGACGCCAGTGAGTTCTGCATTTTTTGTTATCCAAAAATTGCTATGAATGTAGACTGAGTACTTTAATATTTGTTTTTTAGTAGCTGACAGCACAAAATTAACTTATAGCCAAATAAATCTCTCTTTCACATATTAGGTTCTTAAGCCAATTTGTCACCTTTATCCTATATTCTCACAGTTAATTTTTTAATATTTTTTGTCTAGGTGAAAGATTTTACAATTATCTCTGTGGAATTTTTTCTTGTTCCTTCAGCCTACCTTTCTGTCTTAAGTTTACAGTTTATTAAAGATATCAAGATTCCAACTTTGCGTAACCCCCAATTTTTTTTAACATGCTTTCACAGTGTTCAACCGAATATCTGTAGTAGTAGACACAGTGACATCACTAGAGACCTACATCCATTTATTAGGACTTTTGTTTACCACTGTTTGACTATGAACCTATTAATGGGTAAACTGTGATGTCAATCAACCACAGTTTTTACACATTGTCTACAAGAATATCCAGACAGAACTTAGGCTAGTACAGCATTCCTATCACCTTTTTCTTTATCTTCTGAGAAAGAAATTTGTCACAAAGTCAACACAAGAATTATCTAGAAGTTTTAGATGTAAAAGAATGAGAATTAATCCATAAATAAAGATCCTGCTCTATTAATGTGCCCAACATTCTGTTAGCAGATTTTAAGGTTAATATTGGAGACACTGACTATATGCCTATTGGATTATGGATTATTTCAACCATCTACTATATTATCTTGGAAAAGTTTATCTCTCTAATTTCAGTTTCCTCTTAAAATGTGGATAGAATTAGCTACTAGGGTTGATATAAAAATTAGATAAGAATTTATGCATAGGGCTGACACATATTAAGCCTTGAAAATGTTAGTGACGATGATGATAATGATGACGATAATGATGTCTGCTATTATTTTGGAGACCCCAATGAATCATGCGTCACAATTTATACTTCTGTGTACTCCTCTTGCTGTGAATCTGGACTGGCCCTGTGATCAACTATAACCAATGGAATTCAGTGGAAGTAACACTGTGCCATTTTTGGGTCTAATGAGACTTTAAAAGGCTTGAAAGCTACTACTTTTGTGCTTGGGGGATGCCAACTGCAACATAAGAAATCTGACAATGCTGGGTCACCATACTGGGAGCAGCCCAGCCTAGCCACATGGGTAGGTCACATG